CTGGCACCAAGGCTGGGGGTGCTGAGTGAAGGCCTTGAACACTGCACAGGAGCCTGTGCCTTCTCCTGAGGGAACTGGGGAGCCACGGTGGGTTCTAGGCAGGGGAGGGGACCCAATCAGACCTATAGGTTGGTGGACCATTCTGGTGGGTAGGCGGGCATGAGACAGATCTGAGGTGTTTGTTAACTTGTGCCATGAGACCCACGTGCGGTAATTGGGGTGCTGGTTCTGAGTCTCATTCTGCTTCTGATCCAGCCCCCGGCTAATGCCTACCCTGGGAGGCTGCTGGACCTGGGTCTCTTCCACTCAGGTGAAAGACCAAAGTGGAGTTCCAGATTTCTGGCTTTAGCCTGGGAGAATCCTGGCTGTTGGACTGTTGGGGCCTCTGGAGAGTGAACGGGCGGATGCAGCATCTCTCCCAGTCTCTCCTCTCGACAACCACATTTTCATATAAAGTAAAAAGTGATGAAAAACAAACAAAAAACAGCCGGGAGGAAATGTCCACGCAGCCTGCTCTCACCGCAGCGGGAAGGAAGCTTTGTGGATCCTCCATCACCACCAGGGGGCAGCTTCCAACAGCTTCCACCTGCTCGGTCTCTCCCGCCACAGCTGGACTGCGAGCTGGGTGGAACCAGAGCTGTCCGCACCGCACCTCCCACTGCTTCCCCACTTCCCCAGCCTGGCCTCTGGGCTCCTGGGGCCCAACTCCACCCAGTACAAATTTCTGTCAACACAGCCAGGCTGCTTCTGGCCAGGACAATATTTGCCCTTGCGATCTGGGGAGGTTGTCATGGCAACCCAGCTTCCTCCCTCTTTCCCTCCGCCCCTCACCTCTGCCCCTCAACCTGGCCCAGAGGAGGCCACCTGTTCTCTCTCTGTCAGGGTTTACCTGGCCCTCATTCGCGGACTCCAGGTTGCTCTCCTAGCTCATCTCTTTTCTTTCTTTTTTCAATTTATTTTTATTGGAAAGGTAGATTGACAGAGAGGAGACGGAAAGGGGAGACGGAAAGGTCTCCCATCCGCTGGGCCAGACTGAAGCTGGGAGCCAGGAACTCCATCCAGGTCTCCCACGTGGTTGGCAGAACTCGGGTCATTTTCGGCTGCTTTCCCAGGTGCTGCAGCAGGGAGCTGAGTCGGAAATGGAGCAGCCAGGGCTCGAGCAGGTGCTCTGTTAAGTGGGGTGCCTGTGGCAAGTGGCAGCTTAGTGTGCTGTGCCACACGCTGGCCCCTTCCTCCCCGTTTTGGTCTCGCTCACTGGCATCTTATTTTTTGTCCTGCTGGGTCTCTCTCCCGCTCTCGCTCTCCCTCTCCTGTCTCTTGGTGCCTCTTTCTCTGATCCCCATGTGCTGGGGAGGGGTGATTTGTCTGGCCCAGGCTCTGTCTGTCTAACCCTGTGCCTCTCTGATCTCCTGTCCTGTCTGTCCAGCAGCTGTGTGTGTGCCTCTGGCCTGCACCTGTGTCTCCTGTCCCTGCTCTGTCCCTCTGTTCCCATGTCCCCTCTCCCTGGGTCTCCATCTCCGTCTCTGACCTTCACCTCGGACCACCACATCTGTATGTTTCCACAGCTGCCTGCGTGTCTCTGCTGCTGTCTGTCTCTCTCCCGATCACTGTCCTGGTGGCTGGGTCTCTCATGGGGGTCTCTGTCCTTCTGGCCTTATCTCTCTGCAGGTCTGAGCCTCAGGGGGCCATCTCTGCCTCCCATTTCTGGCTTCTATCCCCACGGGTGCCTCCCTGTTCCATCCCTCTCTGCCTCATTTCTCCTGCACCATCTGCCGACCTTCTCCTGTCCTCCCCCACCCGCCTCCCAAGGCCCCGGGGCTGCTCTCAGAAGGCTCTGTCGGAGCAGACAGCTCCTGGCAAGGGGGGTGGGCAGACACAGGCTTTACAGCTTCCTCTCTGCCTTTGCCCCTCTCCCTCAACCCAGGGAGGGAGAGAGGAGGCAGGCAGGGGCAGAAGGTACTGCCTGGTCATGGCTGGGGTGGAGGGATTAGGCAGAGAAATAAGTGCCAGGAGTCTCTGTACACAGCAAAGGCAGTGGAGTGAGACAGGCTCCCAGAGAGAAGCTGGGGAAGGAAGAAGTTCAAAGGCAGGCAGAGGGCAATGGCCTGGATGGAGAGAGAGCACGAGAGTTGAGGGCAGAATGCAAGGAGCAGACAGCCCAGCAGGCCCTGGGCGAGAAGGCAGGGTGAAGAGAGAGAGAGGAGAGAGAGGAGAGAGAGGGAGGGAGGCTGAGAGAAGCCGGACAGGGACTGGAGGAAGATAGAAGCTAGCAGGCAGGTGGGGGGAGTGCTGCTAAACTTAGAGAACAATGGGGTGCAGGGTGGGGGAGCTGCTGGGAAGCAGGAGGGTCCCTTAGAGGTACAGAGGGGCACTTGGCCACAGGGAGGGGCTGCATCTCTGCCTAAAGTTCCCAGAAGCCTTGAGTGTGGCACTGGCAGAGGGCCTGTTAGACCACTGCCTGCTGCCCCCCTCCTCAGTCCCTGGGGCCCTCCAGGAGCCAGGGCTGGGCTGGGCTGGGCTGGGCTGGGCTGGGCTGGGCTGGGCTGGGCTGGGCGGCTCAAACACAGGGGTGAGGTCCCATCTTTCTGCTCCCTGCCCCTTCCCCATGTCTCCATCCACCAGCTCAGCGTGTATGCACTTGACATGTTGTCTCCCCATCCGTGTTTTCCCCATTTTTCTCTTTTTGTGCGTCTTGGCGTATTCGTGCCATTTCCTTCTCCCTGTCTTCCCATGTCCCTTCACCCTGCTCAGCCCTCCCTCCCCTGCCCCTACTCTGTAGAGACAGACCCCCTTGGGGCCACAGGGAGACTCTGGCCCAGCTCCGGCCTCTCTCAGAGGTGCCGGCGAGCTCAGACCCATCAATCCCTCTTCCAAACTCCAGGAACTTGAGTCTTTCCCAGGACCCAGAGGATGCAGGAATGTGGGGCAGAGAGCAGGGAGGCTGGCCAGAGGTCCCGGAAGCCAGGGAACCCCCACTCCTTCCTCCCTGCCCCCTCCTGGGATCCCCGGGACCTCAGCTTGCAGAGTGGAATGGGCAGACTGGCCCATGTCCCCTTGGGTCCGACAGGCCTCAGGGGAGCGCGTATGCCTGGGAGGTCCCGGATGTGCAGAAGGCTGTGGAGCCCAAATCTGGTGCCGTCTGTCCCCCCACCCACCTCAGGTCTGGAAGTTCCCCAGAGGGAAGGCAATGGCAAAAGATGAAGAGGAGGTTTTGGTTGAACAGTAGCCAGTGTGGACTGGTGTGGGCTGTGGACTAGGTGTGTGACCCCAGGTGTCCCCGTGGAGGTGGGACGGCATGCAGCACATGTGACGTGTGTATGTGTGCTGCAGGTGGCCCGTGAGTGTGGGAGTATTAGTGTGACCCCTGTGACACTGGAGGAGCTTGTGGGACTGTGTCTCAGTGAGGGCTGGGAATGTGTGAGGTGACCATGTGGCTTCTGGGATGCTCTAAGACCCTGGCATGCTTGTGGGTGGGGTGGCACACCTGGTGCATGGTGTGCTGCGTGGTGTGATGCATGGCGTGGTGTGTGCTGTGTGTAGTGATATTGTTGTCCATCGCTCCTTGAGAACCACCCCGCAGCCCACCCCATGCTGGAACGTGCTGAGGACACTGTGCTGATGTCCTGGGACACAGAGGCCAGCAGAGGGGGCAGACAGCGCTTGCAACGTGACCTAATGGTGTGCGAATGTGTGTGTGCGTGACTGACGGTGTCATGGGGCTGTGGGAAACTGTGGCTGTGTGTTTGTGTGTGTGAATCTATATGTGACTTTGCGTGTGACTGTGTGTGTGTGCATGTGCCTGAAGCCCCCAACACATCACTGTGTGTCACTAGCCAACGGTCACTTGGTGGGTGACAAACTGGCTCTCAGGGCATGACTGGGAGCCACAGCCTATACAGTTCTCTGACGGTGCTCCCTGGGGCTCAGCCCACGGTAGACTGACCACGGGACAGATACTGTGGCTGTGTGAGCATCTGGGGGGGAGGTGAGTTCTGGGGCGGGGGCTGGAGTGCTACAGTGTGAGGGAGCATGCAGGCTTCTGGGGGTCCTCAAGCGATCTCTCCATGCCTGCTCCCCCCCAAGTCCCCTCTGGTGGCTGTGACGACCGCCCGCCACTGCCCTCTGCCGGCTCCCCCTCCTGCGCCCCACAGGCCCTGGCCCCGCCCCCTCCCACCGCCCACAGCTGCAGAGCCTGTCACCTCCTCCCCAGTGCGGGCAAGGCAGCGGTGGCCACAGCAGCAAGTGACTGGACGCAGGACCGGGGACAGGTGAGGTGTCCCCACCTCCCCCTCAGGTCTCGGGGTCTCCCCCTCGCGTGGCCTCTGCTTCTCACTCCATCTTCCTTTCTCTGTCTGTGCTGTAGCCAGCTTCATCTCTGCTTCTGCATGCCCAGCCCTTCCCCAGCCCCACTGTCCATCTCCCCCGGACTCATCCCCCAGACCCCCATCTCCTCTCTGTCTCCTAGGCTGCCACACCTGCCTTTCCCTGTCCTTTGTCCCTGCCTCTCCCTGCCCCGGTGTCGCTCTGTCTCGGACTTGGGTTTTCCAGCTCCTGTATTTCCCATGCCCAGTCTGTCTCTCTGAGGTGCTCCCCATGCAGTGCTCCTCCAGCTGGGTGATGGGGAGGATTCCTGATAGTGGGTCCCGGCAGATCTAAGCCCAGATTTCCCTCCCTGGTTGTTGGGAATCCAATGGGGTGAGGGGTGTCTCCCTGGCGCTGGACTTCACCCCTCAGGCAAGGGGAAAGTTTGCATAAGACTGGAACCTTCTCTAGTTTGGGACTGTGGGACCCCTTCCAGGCTTACTGGATGAATTCTCCTCTCCTCCGCCCCCATACCAGGCTCCCCGGAGTCTCCACGTCTAGACTTGGGGTGACACTGCCTCATCTGCTGGGCACAGCTCTAGGGCAATCGCCCGCTCAGCAAACAATCCCCGCCCCCCTTCCGCTGCCACTGCCCGCGGCCCCAGTAGCAACAGGTGGTGCTTGGTGCTGGTGCGGTCATGGGGGGCACCTGGGCATCCCGCACCGCTCCCGGTCCCATCCTCCACGTCCCCAAATCCTCCCGTGCGGGGTCCCCGAGCTCCGTGCGTGAATGCCCGAGGCCCGGGGCCCTGCAGGCTGCGCCCCTCGCCATGCAGAGCTCCGCACCCTGGAGGAGGCTGCTGCTGCTGCTGCTCGCGCTGTGGGCGCCTGAGGTGAGCACCCGCGGAGCCCCGAGGACCCCATGCTGGGCGGGGAGGAATGGGGGTTCAAGTCTCCCCCTCATCACAGGTGGGGGTGTTTCAAGACCTCCCCGCTTTCCCCTGAGCCGAGCCCCTTTCTCCTTCACAAATCCTCCTGAATGAGATCCGGCCACCCTCTCTCCTCAGAACAACTCTCGGGCAGCTGCTGGGTAGAAGCTTCTATATAGAGGCCACCCAAGACCCCCGATCCAACGGGACAGCCCCTCCCAGTGTCTAGGGCGGTGGGGCGGGCTGTCCGGGAGCGGGCCTCCCTTCCCTTCTCTCGTAGACGGGCGCTGCGGGGCAGACGGCGGGGGAGCTGTACCGGCGCTGGGAACGGTACCGCAAGGAGTGCCAGGAGAGCCTGGAGGCCGCCGAGCCGCCCTCAGGTGAGGCTGCGGGCGAGGGGGCGGGCGCCTGGGTGGGGCCTAGCGTCGGTGGGCGGGGCCTCGAAGGGGTGGGATTCGGGCCGGTGGGCGGGGCTCGGCCTAAACGCAGGGACGGACGAAAGGGGCGGGACCAGGGCGGGCGGGCGGGGCCTAAAGCTAAGTCAGGAGTGACGGGGCGGGGCCAGAACTGGTGGGCGGGGCCTTGATGAAATCTGAAACAAGGAATGGAGTTTCAGGTGGGGCCTGGGCTGTACTTAATTAGGAAGAGTTGAGGACTGAGGTTTTCCTGGGCGGGGCTTAGGGGATGGGCGGGGCCTGGAGGCTGGAGGGAGGAGCTTGTGGCGGAGCGAGGGGGCTCTGAACCCTCTGGGTGGGCCGGCTGGGCCGGGCTGGCGCGTGGGAGGCGCAGGGAGTCCACTTGGCATCCTGCTCCCACGCCCAGGTCTCGCGTGTAACGGGTCCTTTGATATGTACGTCTGCTGGGACTACGCGGCCCCCAACGCCACCGCCCGTGCGTCCTGCCCCTGGTACCTGCCGTGGCACCGCCAAGGTGAGGCCTGACCCTCCCCAGGCGCTTGGAGCTCCCAGCCGTGCCCCCACAGCGCATACATGCCCCCTCATGCCCCCTTTGCCTGACCCTCTGCCCTTGGCTCCTTCCACCCCACCCGATACCTCTTCTCTGAGGACAACGGGGATGAATTCTCCTCTCACCTTTTCCGGAATCTATCTGGCTCTGAGCGTCCTGGGTTTCCTAGCTTTTGGGCACTTTGTTTCGTGTCTTTGTGCCTCAATTTCCTCATCTGTACAATGGGGCTGACAGTACTGATTTCCTAGGGTTGTATATTATCCAACTGATGAATACCTATACAAGGCTATCTATCAGAGGATTATTATCATCTCTGTCTCTCTGTCCTACAGGTTGTTTTCTTTTTTTCAACTCTTTTTAGATTTATTTTTTATTTTTATTGGAAAGATTTACAGAGAGGAGAGACAGATCTTCCATCTACTGGTTCACTCCCAAAATGTGCACAATAGCCAGAGCTGAGCCGATCCAAGCTGAGAGCCAGAAGTTTCTACTGGGTCTCCCACACGGGTGCAGGATCCCAAGGCTTTGGGCCGTCCTCTGCTGTTTTCCCAGGCCACAGGCAGGGAGCTGGGTGGGAAGCAGGGCAGCCGGGACAGTGTCCGTTCGGATGCCAGCTCTTGCAGGCGAGGGTTAGCCGATGAGCCTTTGCATCAGCCCTACAGTTTGTATTTCTGTCTGCCTCCTTCTCTGTACCTCTGATCCCCCTCTGGCCTTCCCTACAGTGGCTGCGGGATTCGTCCTTCGCCAGTGTGGCAGCGATGGCCAATGGGGACCTTGGAGAGACCACACCCAGTGTGAGAACCCAGAGAAGAGTGGGGCCTTTCAGGTGAGGAAGCCAGGGATGCCCGTTAGTGTGTCCAGGGGCAGTGGCAGGCTTGGCTCCCCATTAGCATCGCGTATTCATCGTTTCAACCACAGAGCCCCGTGGGAAGAGAGGACTCCGGTGTCATCGCCCTATAACCAGGTCCCCTTGGTCCTGGCTTGAGTGTCCTGTGCGGGCGGTGAGGTTGTGGGTCAGCGGTCACCAGGGGGCGCCCACACTGCTAGGCCACACACCTAGCTGGGACTGCCAGCCGCCATTCAGGCAGGAGGGAACAGGTTCTCCCCGAACCAGGGGTGCTGGCTGACATCCCCCCCGGGGGCGAGCTGGCTCTGCTTCCTCCTGCCAGGACCAGCGGCTCAGCTTGGAGCGGCTGCAGGCGATGTACACCGTGGGCTACTCGCTGTCCCTGGCCACGCTGCTCCTGGCCCTGCTCATCCTGGCTAGCTTCAGGTGGGAGCCATACCACCCCCCCCTGTGGTTGGGGGAAAGATTTGGGATTCCCGGTCAGGCATGCTTGCACTTCCCTCAACCCCCAGGAGGCTGCACTGCACCCGGAATTACATCCACATCAACCTCTTCACATCTTTCATGCTGCGGGCTGCGGCCATCCTGACCCGAGACCGGCTGCTGCCTCCCCCGAGCCCCCACTCTGGGGACCAGACCCTCGCCCTGGGGAGCCAGGTGGGTGAGCATCATCACCTACCTGTCCCCCCCCAAGGGGGAAGTGGCACAGTCACCACCTCCTGCCTGCTCCCAGCCACCCAGGGCTTCTGCAGACACACACCCCCACTGCCACCATTCAGCCTCCCCACTCCTGAGCTCTTCCCTCAGCATCTACTCTCCCTCCACCAAGATGAGAGAATCCACCTGCCTTGGGGGGGGGGTCAGGAGGAGAAGAAGCTAAATGGGAAGGGAAGGAGGGTGGCAACCCTGCAGATACTTAGTGACAGACACCAGAAGCAGAGTGGGAAAAGCAGGACCTGGACGCTCCTTGTGCATCGGATTGTTAGGGTGACATGGACAGGAGGTATTCTGTGCCTAGGAGGGGTAAGGGCGATAGGGGCTTTATTTGGGGGCAATATCTGGGATGAGAGTTTAGGGAGGCTAAGAACCTCCGGGCTCAGCACCACCTACTGGGGACACCAGACAGCTGGGCGCGGATGCAAAGCTGGGGGTCCCACTGCCCACCACTGCCTAGGCCTTGGCCGCCTGCCGCACGGCCCAGATCGTGACCCAGTACTGCGTGGGCGCCAACTACACGTGGCTGCTGGTGGAGGGCGTGTACCTGCACAGCCTGCTGGTGCTGGTGGGCGGCTCGGAGGAGGGCCACTTCCGCGGGTACCTGCTCCTCGGCTGGGGTGAGCCTCGACCCCGGACTCCAGCCCGCCCAGCCCAGCGCCCCTCGCTCGGCTCCCTGGACCGTCCAGCTTGTCCACCTCCGGGGGGTGGGGAGGGTCTCCTCCGCTCTCCAGGGCGCTGCACCCACCCTGCGCGGGTCTGAGGCCTGGCGGGGCCTGTGCGCGCGCTGACGGCTGCGGTGGGGTGGGGGGCGGGGATGGGGTCTGCACAGGGGCCCCCGCGCTGTTCGTCATTCCCTGGGTGGTCGTCAGGTACCTGTACGAAGACACGCAGTGAGTGGCAGGGTCTGTGGGGCGGGGCCCGGGCGTGGGCGGGGCCTGAGTGGACCAGGGTGGGCGGGACTTACAGGACAGTGGGCGGGGCATGCTGAGCGCACCTGTCGCGGCTGTGGCTCCCTCCTCCAGGTGCTGGGAGCGGAACGACGTCAAGGCCATCTGGTGGATCATCCGCACCCCCATCCTCATAACCATCTTGGTACCGTTGCCCCCATCTCCTCTAGGCAGCCCTCAGGGATGTCCCATTCTGGGACCTGTGTGTGTGTGTGGACCCCACTTTCTCTCCTCCCCAAACGTCCTCCTCGCTCTCCCTGCAGATTAATTTCCTCATCTTTATCCGCATTCTTGGCATCCTCGTGTCCAAGCTGAGGACACGGCAGATGCGCTGTCCAGACTACCGCCTGAGGTGAGGGCTGGGCTGGGGGAGGGTGTGAGCCTAAGGGAGCAGGCCTTGCCATCACTGCGCTATTTATTCCTAGGTTGGCTCGCTCCACGCTAACGCTGGTGCCGCTGCTGGGCATCCACGAGGTCGTGTTTGCGCCCGTGATGGAGGAACAGGCCCGGGGCGCCCTGCGCTTGGCCAAGCTGGGCTTTGAGATCTTCCTCAGTTCCTTCCAGGTACGTCCGGGAACCAGGGGGTTGGGGAGCCAGTGTTACGATCACTCCCTGATGAATGTTGGGGAGCCAGGGGGCTGGGACTGTTCTGGACTAAGTCTGAGCACTCCCCTCCCCCAACACCTGCAACAGCTGGCACCAGGCCTGGCTGCAGCTGAAGGTCACTCAATCCAGCTTTCCCACTTTAGTGCAGAATCTAGAATTGTAACCAGCATCTTCACTGATAGACCAGGCACCCATCCTCTCACGGCAAACTTTATGGCCGACCCTGAACTGGCTTGCCCTGTCCTAAGGCCTGCCTTCTATCCCCTTCACGGGAGGTGGGCGACTGGAGCAGGTGAGGGAGGAAGCCAGGAAGACAGGCAGGAGAATGTTCTAGCAAGTGAAACGCCAGGCGCCAGGAGTGAGGGGACAGCCTCACTCAGGCTGTGTGCCCTCTGCGCTCCCGCAGGGGAGGAACTGAGGTAGATTTCCGAGGCTTCCAGAAGGGAGCATGCTCCCGACAGCACACGGAGCTTCAGCCATTAATTAGGGAACACTGTGGCCTGCTCAGTTTAGGGGAGTACTGAGCCAAGGAGCAACGCTAAACCAGGGCCGCTGACGAGGTGATGTGGGGTCAGGGAAGGGTTCAAGGTCTTGCCCCCCCGCCCCACCTGACCCTCCTCCTCCAGGGCTTCCTGGTGAGCATCCTCTATTGCTTCATCAACAAGGAGGTAGGTCGAGCCCCTGCCCGCCGCCCGCGCTCCTCCTGGCGGCCGCGCTGGGAAACGGCGCCGCCTCTGAGCATCCCTGTTGCAGGTGCAATCGGAGATCCGCCGGGGCTGGCGCCACTGCCGCCTGCATCGCAGCCTGGGAGACCAACAGCGCCAGCTCCCGGACTGCCGCACCACCCGGGCGCTGCCCCTGGGCTCTGGCCTCGGCGAGGTCCGTAGCGGCCGCGCCATGTCCTGCGGGACCTTGCCGGGAGCTGGGGATGATGGCAGCCGGGTACTGGAGAGTTACTGCTAGGTGGCAGGATTGCGCTGTGCCTCCTCCGTGCCAGGCCCGGTGTAGGGGACGCCCGGGAAACATGAGAGGAGACAAGGTGGCCAGCATCCTGAAGGAGGAAGACCCTGAACACAAACTGAGAGCTATGGCAATGGCTGGTGCAGGGATTCTAGACAGGAGTTTAGGGTGACATTTAACAAGGGGAACAACTGGAAATCAAGGCTCTGGCAGGAACAGCACACACAAAGGCCCTGGGGCAGGGAGGAGCTGGTCTGGTCTGCAATGAGACACCGAGCCAGAGCCCACACAGGGCGGGAAGGGACACTCAGGACTATTGGCATGAGAGCCTCAAGGGCTCTCTGAGGCAATGCCACTGCCCGCCTGCAGAGGATTCGATGATCAGAGCCAGGGGAGGAAGCTGGGGCTTGGTGAGCTGCCCCTCCTGCAGATGGGGGTGGCAGGGCTCCCCAAGCCGGGTGGGGGCTACCTGGAAGGCAGAGTGGAGGGGACTGCTGAGTGAGCCCAGGACTCAGGGTGAGTGCTGAGTGTCCTGTGGGTGCCACACTGCCTGTGTCCAGATGTACACAGGGACACTTCAGGCAGTTATGGCTGAAAAACAGTGCGTCCAGAGTGGCCAGCCTTTGCCAGCTGCAGAATGAGATGGGCTGTCTGAGGCACTGAGAGCACTGGGGGGCAGGGAGGGCTCACCCCGCTCTGCGGCTGCTCAGCTGTAAGGCTGTGGGTCTGGGCAGGAACTCCTGGAAATAAAACATGAGAAATACTGGGGTCCCTGCTTCTTGGGTCAGAGAATCCTGTCAGGTTGTCAAGGACATGGCTGGGAGTGGAGGGGTGCAGGTTGTGGCTGGACTGGAAGCCCCGGACACCATGCAGCCGTGACTGGTCCCCAGCCAGGAGGCCCAGCTACCATGTGGCAGCCCAGACCCTCTGCTCACCATGACACACAGGCGAGGGTGGGCATGCACCCGAGGGTGGTGTCCACACAAACCTGCTGCTGAGGCCAAGAGAGACAAGGCCCAGCACAGCTGCAGATTTGCTGGGTGCATGGTACAGTGATGGGAACCCATCCAGCTGTGGCCTGGGAAAGCAGTCGAGGATGGGGAGAAGTAGAGGTTGGCCCAAAGCCTTGGGACCCTGTACCCACATGGGACACCGGAAGACGCTCTCTCCTGGCTCCTGGTTTTGGAATAGCTCAGCCTGGCCAGTGTGCCCACCTGTGGAGTGAACCAGTTGACGGAAAGGCTTTCTGCAAATTGGCTTAATGAAGAATGATGGAACCCACACAACAGGGTGCCAGACAGCAAGGCATGGCCCCTGGGATGCTGCCTACTGCACACAGGGCACGAGGTAGTTGCGCCACCTGCTGGCCTTGCACTATTCCCACAAGTTCTGCTTTGGAAGTCCTTGTGGATGCCGGGCAGGGGCTGGTTTGGTGGCACCAGCATCCCTTATTAGAGTGTTGCTTCCAACTCAGCTCCCTGCCTATGCACCAGGGGAGGCAGTGAGATGGCCTGGGTACCTGGAGTTCTGGGCTCCTGGGGTTGGTCTCATGCAGTCATTTGGAGTGAAGGGAGCGCATACAAGATTTCGCTCTCTGCCTTTCAAATAAACACCCTCCGAAAAGATGGAGCTTCAAGATGGCTCAATGGGCTAACTCTCCACCTGCAAAACCAGCAACCCATGTGAGCTCTCTCGTGTCTTGGGATGGCAGCAGAGGGAGGTCTGAAGCCTCGGGACCCTGCACCCACATGGGAGCTTTGGATTGGCTCAACTCCGCCTGTTGAGGCCATCAGGGGAGTGAACTAGCAGAGGAAGATCTTTGTCTCTTTCTCTGTAAATCTGGTTTTGCAATGAAGTCAAACACTGGGGTGGGTGAAAAGGAAGGAAATTCACTAACACCGAGCAGAATGGCCTGGAATGGAAATTCTGATGCCAGCTTACAGGGCAAAGTAATTTCTTCTTAAAAATAAAGGGCTGGGCCTGGCGCGATGGAATAGTGGTTAAGGTCCTCGCCTTGCATACCCAGGATCCCATATGGGTGCCGGTTCTAATCCCAGCGGCTCCACTTCCCATCCAACTCCCTGCCTGTGGCCCAGGAAAGCAGTCGAGGACGGCCCAAAGCTTTGGGACCCTGCACCCACGTGGGAGGCCTGGAAAAGGCTCCTGGCTTCTGATCAGCACAGCACCGGGCCATTGCGATCACTTGGGGAGTGAATCATCAGATGGAAGATCTTCCTCTCTGTGACCAAGTGGTTAAGGTTGCTGTGCCTGTGGGATATGGGTGCCGCCTGGAGTCCCAGCTGCTCCATTTCCAATCCTGAGCCAACATGCGTTGGAGTGGTGGAAGATGGCACAAGTGCCTGGACTCTTGCCAGCCATGTGGGAGACCCAGTGGAGTGCCAGACTCCTGGCTTCCGTCTGGCCCGGCCCTGGCCACTGCAGCCACGTGGGGAGTCAACTAGTATTCCTCCCTATCTGTAACTCTGCCTTTGAAGTAAATAAATAAATCTTAAAAATATTAATCTCCCCCCCTACCCCCAAAAATCAAACTTTGGAGCAGACTGAGAGGAAGACAAGCCCATGACAGCGCCTCCTGGGCTCTCTCAGCGCAGGTCAAATCAGCGGCAGAGCCAGGCCCCGGAGCCAGCCATGCCAACCTGGGCCGTGGCATCCAATCCAGCCATCCGACTGTCACGCCAGTTGCACGCTTTGGGGAACCATCTCTGCTGAGTGGTCCTTCTGAGTCAGCGGGGTCTGCTCCCTCCTAAGGGCCCCCCACAGTAGGGTCCCCTCTTCACACCTGCTCCCTGAGGGTTAGCAGTCCTGAGGTCTGGCTCCCCACACGTGTGGATGCACCTGCCTCCTGACAGGGTGCCCCTGGGCAAACCAGCTGCCCTCAGCTGTCCCATCAGGACACTGGGTGACCTCAGAACAGGGGTGGGACACAAGATTCCCTAAATCCGCAGCAGGCTAAGGGGGAGGTTGTGACTCTGCAGGGCCGACAGACGGTGGGACGAAGACCCACGTGGACCTGGGCTGAAAGGTTTCCAGTCTAGCGGGCAGCTGTTCCAGACGCAGACCATTCCATGGACGCACAGCTGCAGTGCCACCATGCGTCATGCTTTCTCTGGCACTGATGGGCTGAGGCTAACTGGGTGACGCTTGTCATAGCTCAGGGGTCCTCTGCAGAATCCCCATGGCTGCCTGGCGTTCGGACAGAGATGAGAACTGTTGGGCGAGGTGATGTGGTGCATGCTGTGTGGGTCAGAGCAAAGTGGATTTTCTTGAGCCCCATTCAGATCTTGGGGTACACCACCACTTCCTGCCCTGGGGGACCCTCACTGTCTCCCCCTGGTGGCAAGCATTTATAGATACAGCTGACAGCCAGTGCGTGGGACCTGCCCCCAGGTCGCCCAAGCAGCCACTGTCAGTACTAGGTCCAGGACCCTGGGCTTCCCAGGGTCCCTGCTGCACAGGGCTGGGCACAAGAGATGCACTTGTGGATGTTCACACAAAACCCACTGCTGAGAGGCAGGAAGAAGGAAGGGAAAGAGGCAGCAATGGAACCTAGAAGAGCCAAAAACAGCAAAAGGAACAGAAACTTCTGCCAACCCCACTCACTTTTACCCACAGGGAAGCCAAACATGGATAGCCATGGCTGAGGCCTCTTGCCTGGCCCAAGGTCCCAGCCCAGCTGCCTCCCTCTCTTGAGACGGCACCCTGCTCACTGGTGCTTGAATGGAGAGAAAGCATTAGAAAAACCACAGGGCTTTATTCATCTGGCGGTGCGGGGGCAGGCGGGGGGCAGGTGTGCAGGGTGTGCAGGCTCTGCAGGCAGGGGTCCTACTTGCCGGCGATGAGTGGGTTGCGCAGGACCACAATGACCGAGTCCCCGCGCAGGAACATCTTGGAGATGTAGCGGTCCTTGTTGACTGGCTTAGACTTCTTCTTGCCCTTGCCGCTCTTCGGGACCTCGGTCCACATCTCCTTGACGTTCTCCAGCACCATGTTGCAGTGCCTGGGGCGGGGGACAGAGGGTGAGGAGGCGGCGCTGGCCCCTGCCAGGGGCCCACCCTGCCTGGGCTGTGACGAAAGACTCGTCCTTCCTCCTGCTCTTTGAAACACAGAAGAGGGTGCTGCCTTCCTCGAAGCACTGGAGTCAGGGGTCAAGAACTGGGGCAGCATTTCTATCAAAGAACTAGAAAGCAACTCAGCCACAGAACGCTTCCGCCTGAGCCACAGGATGGAGGGAGGCAGCAGCAAAGGGCGGGCTTGTCTCTCAAGTGCAGAGAGATGGGGTGTGGGGTGGGGAGTCTTCCACCTACAGGTTAGCACCCTGCATGCCGGCAAAGAGCCAGGGGTGGCAGAAGCCAACACGAGGCACCAGGAATACCAGGGGTGGCAGGGACCTAAGCACTGGAGCTGCCACCTGCCACCTCACAGGGTGCAAGTGAGCGAAAGGACAGAAGTGGGAGAAGACAGTCTATGGCCTGGGAAAGCAGTCGAGGACGGCCCAAACCCTTGGGACCCTGCACCCTTGTGGGAGACCAGGAAGAAGCTCCCAGCTCTTGGCTTTGGATTGGCTCAGCTCCGGCCGTTGCGGCTGCTTGGGGAATGAACCAGTGAATGTAAGATCTGCCTTTCCAATAAATAAATCTTAAAACAAACAAACAAACAAACAAACAAAACCCTATGCATTTATTTTAATAACATGTATTTCTCATGGGCTTTGCACCTCATGGGAATAGTACCAAATGGTACGAAGAACAAAGAAAAAGAAAAAGCCAGGAGTGCGGAAGCTTTCTGCCGCAGTTCCCCGCAGGGACACTGTGAGGGCACAGGGCAGGAGGGGCCCAGAGTCCGACTCAGGTGAGCAGCGAGGCCTAGCCAGGACACACAGCCCTCAGAACACCTTCTCCTGGGCAGATAGCGGCATGCGCCCCTCAGCAAAGCACGGGACTGTATTTCCAATTCAGAAAAAAAAAATTACAAAGACCCATTATACCCAGGCCCTCTTTCCCACTGCCCTCTCAGGTGCGTCAGCAGGGAGCTAGATTGGAAGGAACAGCTGAACTTGAACCGGTGCCCACGTGGGATGCTTGCAAGACAGGGAGCAGTTTAACCCACTGCACTACAATTCCAGCCTCAAGATTTTTGATTAGCAAGACAGATTTACGGAGAGGAACAGGAAATCAGGCTGCAAGGGAGCAGCTGGGCGGTTCCACTGGGAGGGGAGCAACAGCACAGACGCCCTGCTGGGCACTGGTTCAAGTCCTGGCTGTTCCACTTTCCAGCCAGCTCCCTGTTAAGGCACCTGGGAAAGCAGAGAATGGCCCAAGTCTTTGGGACCCTGCACCCACATGGGAGACCCAGAAGAAGCTCCACCTGGAGAATGAACCCACCGACAGCAGACCTTTCTGCATCACAAATACAGGTGTGGCATGTGGCCTAGGAGGTGCCTGCCTCTGGATGCACGGAAGGCATGGGGGGAACAGGAAGGGCAGGCAAAAAGCTTTCCAGCTTCTTTCAGTAACTCAATCTGTCCCATGTGCCCGATGCTGTGAGGAGCCCTTAGCCTGTGTGAGGTCAGCTGCCCCAGGTACACCGGCCATAGAGAGGGACCCCAGCCCAGGCTAGCACCCCAGCCTATGCCCACGGCAGTGGTGGTGCTGAGACGCCTGTCAGCCTCAGCCAGGAGCCCACCCGTGGAAGGAGCCAGCAGCCCCGGGCAGGAGCCCACTCGCAGAAGGAGCCCACCCGCGGAAGGAGCCGGCAGCCCGGCCAGGAGCCCACCCACAGAAGGAGCCCACCCTCAGAAGGAGCCCGCAGCCTGCCCAGCAGCCCACCTGTCGAAGGCCTTCACGCGGCCCAGCAGCTTCTTGTTGTTGCGGCAGTTGATGAGCACCTGTGTGTTGTTCTTGACCGACTGCGTGAGCACCGAGAGGGGCCCCGTATTGAACTCCTCCTCCTCCCGCTTCTGCAGCTCCTCGGGCGTCATCTCACTCTTGGGCTTGTTGAGGAGACTCCTGGATGGAGGCGCGGGGACCCGGTGGCGATCAGAGGGGCAATGGCCTCAGCCTTCTCCCCTGGCATAGCTGCCCAATCATGTCAGACTTGGCACACTGCAGGCCTGGCTCCAGCCTAACCCTCCCCCTCTGTCATTCATGAGCAAAACCTGATGACAACCCAGCTTCTATCTCAGATGCGCCATCAACCTTGCCAAGAAACGCTGTCCGTCCCCTCCACCTTTCCCGTGCTCTGAAACCTGACCTATGCCACCTAACCATCTGGACACTTGTCTCCACCATTGACGGGGTTGGGTCCTAGGAATCCCCCTGCAGCTGTTCAAACCTCTTCTATAAAACAGCTCTATTAGAGTAGGCACTGTGGCTAAATTGGCTAGCCCTCCATCTGCAAGCGCCAGGATCCTATAAGGGCGCCGGTTCGTATCCCAGCAGCTCCACTTCCCATCCAGCTCCCTGCTTGTGGCCTGGGAAAGCAGTCCAGGACGGCCCAAAGCCTTGGGACCCTACACCCATGCGGGAGACCCACAAAGGCTCCTGGTTTTGGATCGGCTCAGCTTCAACTGTAGGAGCCATTTAAGGAAAATATCTCTCCTCTGTAAACGCCTTTGCAATAAAAACAAGTAAGTCTTTAACAGCTGTTTTGCTGAAAAAGGTGGGGAATAGTGACAAGCGGCCATAGATTCATGCTTGAGGCGCCAAATCCAATGCTTTCCGCGGGCCTGGGCGACGTTTCATTCAGCCATTCGCCCACGTGTGCATGCATGCAACGCACATGCAGCGAACCAATCCCCCCCCAGGTCCAGGCAGTGACGGAGACCCGTCCCAGGGGCCCATCGGGGCGGACAGCCGCCTCCCGCGCCCTCCAAGTCGGTGCCCGCTCCTCTATCCTCCGCATTCGAAAAATGGCTCCTCCTCGTCCGTCTCAACCAAAACTGCGGGCAAGCCCGACCAAGCTGCCCCGCGCCCTCCGCCCAGGCCGCCCTCCACCTCGCGGTCCCGCCTGCTCCGGGGACCCGGCCAGACCCACACCCCGCGCCTCCGCCCGGCCGCTCGAGCCTCACATGGTGCCGGCCGCTACGTCCCGCTCCTTCCTCCGCCTCGCCGCAGCTTCGGGGAACCGAGAGGGAGGGGCGGGACTTCCGCTTCCCGCGGCCGCCCCACTTCCGCGGGCGCCTGCGCACAGCTCACGCGCGGCGATGGGCGAGGCCTGTCACCATGGCGACCATCGTCCGCGGATTGTGGTGGGAGTGGCCAGTTACCATGGCGATCCCGCCCCTGCGCAGGGTGGTGGGCGTGGTTTGCTGCCATGGCGACCCCGGATTGGGGTTGGGGGATAGTGCTGTACAAGGCTGGAGAAGGAGCCACAGGCCCGAGGAGGCGTCGTTCCGTACCAGGAACATGGAGAGCCAAACCAACAGGATCTGATTCGAGCCAGCCCGCGGTCGGAGCGGCGTAGGTTGCAAGGGTTTGTTCTAAATGCCCGCCGGCCCCAGTTTCCGCTTCAGGGACGGCCTCCTGGCGTGCCCACAGCTCCTCCCGACCCACGCGACCAAACGTAGCCCATTGGCTCTCCCTCCTCCTGCCTTTAGCCTCAGCGTTTCTTCTTGGGGAGCCATCCCCGGTGTCCCAGGGAGCCGGGGAGGCGCGTCCCCGCGGCTGGGCAGCGTCCCATTGGTTTCCCGCCTCGTACGGTACCCGCCTCTTCGGTCGCTCATTGGTTTTGAGATTCCATGGTGGGTGGGCCTTGGCTGGAGCCTCCACTTGATCCGCGATCCCCACCCCGCTGCCCCCGCCACCGGTTTTTAGAACCGAAAGCTGCCATGCGTTCCGGGAGCCGCGGGCGGCCTCGGCCCCGGCTCGGCGATCGCGGCGTCATGGCGCCCAGTTCCCCGCTCAAGCGCCGGCTGCTTCCGCGTGCCCAGCTGCTGCCGCTGCTGCTGCTGGCGTTGGCCTTGGGCTCGGCTTTCTACACGCTCTGGAGCGGCTGGCACCGCCGGACCGAGGCGCTGCCACGGGGCCAGGAGCTGCGGGTAAGGCCGGGTGCGCCCTGGCACCCCGAGGGCCCTCTTGGCCCCACTTCCTCTTTCGGGTTGACGTGGCGTGACCCAGGGCCCTTGGCTGCAGGTTCCCACCAGCTGGGTCCCTGGAGGGCAGTGCCCTCTCCAGGCGCGCTGCGTCTGCAACAGTGGCTTCTTTTCTCCCCCAACCCTCTGGAGAGAACGGGTCTGGGGTCGCCAGGCTGGGGAGTTCTGGGTTCCAAGCCTGAAAGGCAAGCATATGGAAGCGTGTCTCCCTGGGCTTTGATTTCCCTATCAGTGGTGGGTCAGGCTGCAGGATGGGCTGGGAGAGACTTTGATCTTGGAAATCTTCGATGCGCGTTAGAGGAAGCAAGACTTTGAGGGGGAGGTTGCTGTGTGTTCTGGGTAGGGTTGCAATGGGTGTGTGTGTCGGGGGCTGGGGGGACGGGATGTGCTCATTCTTTTCCTTATCCCACTTGGCTCCTCAGAGCCCGCAGGTCGGAAGTCTGCCTGAAGCCCGGCTGCGGAGGGTGGTGGGGCAGCTGGACCTGCAGCGGCTGTGGGGCAATTATCTGCACCCACTGCTCATTGTGAGGCCTCCAGGCACTCCTGGCAATCTCCAAGTCAGGAAGGTAAAACCCCCTCTTACTTTCCCCCCAACACTGATGCTCCTCCCAGCCCCAGCCCACCAGGGGATAGGAAATCATCTTCATTATGCAGCCTAGGAAATGGAGAGGGTCCCCGCCCCCCAACCAAACACACACTGGAGCTTGTAGACTTGGCCCAGACCCTGCAGCTAAGGAGTGGTAGACCCCGGACTTGAACCCACATTATAGGTGAGCTCCACAGTGGGTGCTGCCTGCCTCCTTCTGGAAGCATGACCTCCGACTAGTTTCCTAACCTGCCTAGTTCCTCAATGACTCTGTTTGCAGTTCGTTGGCAATCCCCATGCTACAGAGAGAAAGATCTTGCATCAGCTGGTTCACTCCCCAGGTGGCCTCAATGGCCAGAGAGCAAAGCTAATCCAAAGCCAGGAGCCAGGAGCTTCTTTCAGGTCTCCCACGTGGGATGCTTTGGGCCATCCTCAACTGATTTCTCAGGCTGCAAGCAGGGAGATGGATGGCAAGTGGAGCAGCTGGGACAAGAACTAGCACTTGCAGGTTGGGGATTAGCTAGCTGAGCCATTGTGCCAGCCCCTAGAATGGCAGGATGAAAGAGATTTAGGAGTCAGCCGGGGTCAGGCTTGTTGGCATAAAGATGGGGGTGAACCCCAACATCTGGCACCCAGGAGGTACCCAGCAGAAGGACGTCCGGGAGGGGGACATTTGAGTCACCCCCACTGTTGTGTGGCCCTCAGGTCACTTGCCCTTCTCCCTGCCCCCTCCCCAGGCCCTTCCACCCTCCCTGCTCTCTCTCACTAGTTCCTGGAGGCCACGCTGCGGACCCTGGAGGCCGGCTGGCATGTGGAGTTGGATCCCTTCACGGCCTCCACGCCCCTGGGAACCCTGGACTTCGGCAACATCGTGGCCACACTGGACCCAGGGGCCGCTCGTCACCTCACCCTCGCCTGCCACTACGACTCGAAGCTCTTTCCTCCCGAGGCAGCCCCATTCGTGGGCGCCACGGATTCTGCCGTGCCCTGTGCCCTGCTCCTGGAGCTAGCCCAGGCCCTTGACCCAGAGCTAAGCAGGGCCAAGGAACAGGTGAGAAGTGGGGGATGAGTGAGGGGCGCTGCCGGGCCACCCCCACCCTGCTCTGAGCCACCAGCCTTCCTCGCCTGGGTGGTTGTCGTTCGTTTTGTCTCCCCACAGCCGCCACACACACAGAGCCAGAGAGATCATTCCGCCTTCCTGTCTTACCCACACCCTGCCTGGCTCGCACCTCATTCATTCCAAGCACAGGCCAGAGCCTATGTAGGACCCCAAGGCGTGCCAGACACAGCCTCCCGGGGGGCTCTTGCCTTGGCCTCAGAAGCCCCCAAGGACAGTTTAACCCCCTGCCCAGCCACCCCTCTAGCCTGGTGTCACCTCCCCCACCCCTGTGATACCGTGTGAGTTTCAGGGAGGCAGTGACCACAGACACTTTCAGTGGGAGATACTGTGATGTACTTGCATCCTGTGGGCCTTTGCAAATGCACTCCACCCCTTGTGCCCCAACCCAGCACCTCTCTAAAGCTCAGTCCCCTGCAGCCTCCCACCCTTACCACTGCTTACTCCGCTCCAGCCATGCCCACCTGCTCTGGGCCCCTCCAACCCTAGGGTTTGCCCTGGTTTGGGGCCTTTGCACCTGCTGTCAGCCCTACTGTAGAGAAAGTTTTTCACCACTGTCTTCCTGCGTGGCTCCTGCTGCACACCATCGGTATTTCCTTAGCGTAGCCTCCCTAGTGACCTCAGACAGCTCCTGTCACTGTCGCATAGCTTCTTGTTGGTATGTCTGCCTGCTGCCACTCAACAACATAAATTCCGTAAAAATCAAGGACACGGTTCTTGGCCACCCTCATTCCATGAGTGATGTCACCTACCTGGATTTCTAACCAGCCAGGCTGGGGCAGGGAGGAGGGGGCCAGGTCATGACGTGGGGGTGGACTCAGGCAGAAGCTGGCACTGAGCCGGCCTGGGGCCTTTTGCTCCCCTAGGCAGCCCCTGTGACCCTGCAACTGATGTTCCTGGACGGCGAGGAGGCGCTGAAGGAGTGGGGGCCCAGGGATTCCCTGTATGGATCTCGACACCTGGCCAAGCTCATGGAGTCCATGCCCCATAGTCCCGGCCCCACCAGGATCCAGGCCATCGTAAGAGCGAGGGCTCCTGCTGGGCTTGGGCCAGGAGGGAGAGGAGAAGTGGGGGGTAGGATCCAGCCCAGCTGGCCCCCTCTCTCCAGCCTGGGCTGCCTCTCCTGCAGGAGCTCTTTGTACTTCTGGATCTCCTGGGAGCCCCAAACCCAACCTTCTACAGCCACTTCCCTCGCACCATCCGCTGGTTCCATCGGCTCAGGAGCATCGGTAAGGGCCAAGGCCAAGGTCAAGGCTGGCTCAGCTTGCGCCACGTGCAGCACCCTGGGACCTTCTACCTGGCTGGTCTAAGAAGCTGCTGGGAGCAGAAATGCCAGTGAATCCCATTGCAGGTCAAGAGCGGAGATTGAGACACTGGGGGAGGGCGGTAAGACAGCGCCTGTGCGGCTGTTCAGTCCTGGCCATGCTTCTTTTCAGACGGGTGACCTAGGGCAGGTGTCAGCACTTCTCTGGGAAGCCCTGGAGACCTAGAGGGATGAACTGGGACCAGGAACGCGGGGAGCCCACCATGAGGAGGAGCTGGGATCCGTCCTGTGTCCACACGACACAGCCATGGCCTCTTGCTGTGGGCGGTGGGCGCCAGGCTGCAGAGGACTGACACTCGCTCTCCTTCCTCCTCAACTACCCCCAGAGAAGCGTCTACACCGGCTGAACCTGCTGCAGTCGCATCCCGAGGAAGTGATGTACTTCCAGCCCGGGGAGCCCCCCGGCTCGGTGGAGGACGACCATATCCCCTTCCTCCGCAGAGGTGGGCACTGCAGGGACACAGAGGAGGGGGCCAGGTGTCCAGGGAGCCCAGCTGGGACCTGGGCAGTGCTGGGGGCCTGTTTGTGCTTTAACTTCATTATCTGTGAAATGGAGATGTCTAGTGTTGTTGTTAAAGAAGTATTTAGTCAGAAAGAGAGAGAGAGAATGATCTTTGATCTGCTGGTTTATTCCTCAAATGGTCACAACAGCATGTTGCAGCTGGGAACCAGGAGCCTCTTCTGGATCTTCCTCATGGATGGGTGCAGGGTCCCAAGGCTTTGGGCTGGCCTCGACTGCTTTCCCAGGCCACAAGCAGGGAGCTGGATGGGAAGTGGAGCTGCCGGGATTAGAACCGACACTCATGGGATGGCAGCACTGCAGGTGAAGGCTTACTATACTACGCCCCGGCGCTGGGCCACAGATTTCTCATAATACACATTTTCCTTGAACTTAGTGGAGACTTGCCTTGCATACAAACGTAGGCACAGGGCTGTAATTAGAACAGGTATGTATGGTGCCTCCTCACACCATGCTGGGCAGAGAATAACTGCTAAAAAAAAAAATGCTTTCAAAAGTGCACTGTGCAGTGGACGCATTCGACAAATACACATTCCTTACAGTGCCTTTACAGGTTGATTCAAGGTGGGAAGTCAGTAGATGGGGGGTCTGGGGCCCAGCTGCCTGGCTCCCAGGCCAGCCGGGGCCAGGCAGAAATATCCAGCAAGCCTGGATACAAACGCATGCGGAATTGTGCCTAGTGGAGGAAGCTGATGTGGCATGGGGTCACACTGAGTGTACTGTTAACCAGGGGGCAGGGACCTGGCCAGATCCCAGGCCTGCCAGGTGGGTGCAGGGGCCCAAGCCCTTGGGCCATCCTTTGCTGCCTTCCCAGGACCATTAGTAGGAGCTGGATGGGAAGCGGAGCAGCTGGGATTTGACCTGCTGCACCCTAACCCAGGCACTCGGAGAATGGGTGAGGGAGTTCCCCGCAGCATCCTGAGCGGTTCACCCGAAGCCTGCCCATCAGTGTGTGTGTGTGTGTGTGTGTGTGTGCGTGTGTGCGTGTGTGTGTGTGTGCGTGTGCGTGTGTGCGTGTGCGTGTGTGTGCGTGTGTGTGTGTGTGTGCGTGTGTGCGTGTGTGTGTGTGTGTGGCCTTAGCCTGCCGCCTACAGTCTAGCGAGCACAGTGCTTGTCTAGGTGCTATTTCTTATTTAAATAATAGTAAAAGGGAAGGGGCCAGCATGATGGTTCAGTTGGCTAATGTGCTTGCAAGCAACAGTATCTCATATGGGTGCTGGTTCAAGTCCTGGCTGCTCCACTTCCCATCCAGCTCCTTGCTTGTGGCCTGGGAAAGCAGTGGAGGATGGCCCAAGGGAGACCTGGAAGAAGCTCCTGGCCCCTGGCTTTGGATTGGCTCAGCTCCAGCCGTTGTGGCCACCTGGGAAGTGAACCAACAGATAGAAGATCTTTCTCTCTTGCCTCTCCTTCTGTCTGTAAATCTGCCTTTGCAATAAAAATAAATCTTTAAAAAGAAAGGGAGCCAGATGTGCACCTGCGTGGTGAGGATAAAGAACATTTTTTTTTTCTTCTGGTCTCTCCACAGCAAGGTTCAGTGTCTGAGTGCCTTGCATTTGTGTTATGAAAACAAGATATGTTGTTTCTTTTAATTTTTTTTTTTTTTTTGTAAAAAAGAACATGCACCTAAAAGCCCAGAGTTGAAGTGTCAGTTGGCGTTTGTGTGGTGGGTAGGGACTCCTGGGTTGGCGATGGCCGCTGACCTCCCTCTCTCTCCCTTCCCTCACCTCAGGGGTTCCGGTGCTCCATCTCATAGCCACGCCCTTCCCCTCCGTGTGGCACACCCCTGCCGACTCCGAGGCCAATCTCCACCCGCCCACCATTCACAACCTCAGCCGCATCCTGGCCGTGTTCCTGGCTGAATACCTGGGCCTCTAGCCTGGCAGACAGCAGTGACCCAAGGGCAGACCCAGCTCCAAGGGAGCAGCGACCAGCAAGGGGGACCTGCCGAGGGCAACGGACCCGGGAAGTCTCTTCTACAACTGCTGATGCTGTGACCAGAAATCTCCTCCCCGCTGACTACCTCAGCTCCACCCTCCCAGGACGGGGAAGAGACCGTGGAGGAAGAAGAGGAAGAAGCTATCCCTTCCCAGAGGTCAATACTGGATGTGAAGGTTGGCGGGGACCCAGTGCTGTTCTTGGCATCGCTGGCCACAGACCAGACCAGCAGCACCTTGCCAGCCAATGGACGCTCTGATTTGCATCTCGTGTACCGTCTGCCCATCTGTCCTCCCAAACAGCAGCTGTGTTGCTGCTGCAGTCCAAACCCAGCACCCAAGTGGGGTCTACAGGGCATGTGTTGCGCCCAGGAGCAGAGGAGATGGGCACCAGGAGAAGGATCCGAGAGCCAACAAATGGGGCGAGAGGACATGAAATGTTTCGCCAGCTGGTGCTGCTCTGTACAAACTGGAAACTCCCGGTCCTGTTTCAGTCCTCCAGGGAGGGCCCAGGACTCATCAAGCGAACACCTGAGCTACCGTTTGGGCTGTGCCATCCTTAGGGACATGGCGTGGCATGCACACCTGCCATGGCTCCCCTCACGGAGGAGCCGGGGATACAATGTCCGGCTCTGCTGAGCTGCATGGCAACTGCTCTGGTGGACCCTGCTGACGGAGCCCTCGGCTGTCAGTGGCAGTGCCAGGCCAACATGGAGGGTGGTTCTATAGCTAAGGGTACATCAGCTTCTAGTCCAGAACCCTGGAAGACTCAGGGCTGACCCTCAGGACATCAAAGCATGGGAGAGAGGGCAGGGCCTGGTGAGGACTTGACACCTGTCATCTCGTTTAGTCCCTGCCCCCACCCCCCTTCCCGAGGCAGGTGCAATTTCAGTTCTCATTTTGGGGAATGCAGTGGTTGAAACCAAGACTCGTGAGCTGAGCATGTTGGCAAGGGAAGGAGACTCACCCTCAGCTCTGCTGCCTCCCCCTGCACACCTCCCACCTCCCTCCCCAAATCACCTGGGTTCCTCTTTATAAAAATCAGCAAAAATCTTTAATCATGGCTCCACACTCACATCTGAAGGCAGGCCTGCTAGCCCCGCATTAGAAGTGAAGTTGCAGCTGGCTGGCTTCCCTCAGCTGTGTGTGTGTGTCTGCGTCTGTCCTCTGCTGTGCAAGGCCTCCCTCAGCTCTCTCTGTGTGTTTGTCCTGGCTAAGCATTCCAGACATGCAGGTCCAGGGCCTCCGGTCGACCTTCGGAGGATCCCTCATCAACGCTGCTGAGCCTGAAGCTCTCTGGGCTTTGACAAAAACCCCCACTGGACTTACATGATGGTTGGGACTGCCCCTCCAGTGCAGGCACACAGACACGTGGCATACATAACCTGCAGGCTGTGTGTTTGAAGTACTGCAGGTGACATCAAGGACAACTTGGGGTTGATACTGGAGTCTCATCCCTCCTGGACTACGGAGCAACTCCCCTACCCCCCAGTCTGAAACTTTTCAGGCCCCTGAGCACTCTTGAGAATGACTCAACATCAACATGTTGAGTTTTTTCAGAGACAGAACCTGAGGATCCTGAAGACTTGGGTGCCTGAGACCCTATGGCAAGGTCTGGGAAGCCATTTCTCTTTGCCCTCTGACTCATTGGGGCGCACCTGATGAGTTTGGGGTTCCTTGATTCTGGAACGCCAACTAAATCCTCTGAAACCTTCCCTGTCTTTGTGCAACATTTTTCTCCCTCAGCTTCCAATTCGGTAAACCTTTTCTCCAGCCACGTCTGCCCTGCTGGTGTAACCCAGCCACACTGAGTCCACACCTGCTAAGCGCACGTTTCGCTTCCAGAAGGTGGTGTCTGTTCTTCCCCATCTCCTAGGCTACGTCTTCGTTCTAGGTTCCCTGCTGTGGTGTCCAAACTCTTGACAAAATTTTAAATGTAGCTTAAAATACACAGGGCATCGTGGTGGGTGAAGGAGGACCTGTCTGGGGGTATGCCTGCTCTTGGTGACCATTGCCATTCTTGTGGGCACGGCCTACAGGACAGCCTGAGGGGGAGGTCCATTCCTCTAGCCGTGCCCCTCAGCCCAGCAAGACACCTGCTGCTAGGGCTCCTCACAACCTACGCTGCCCAGGGTCCCTCTCGGCCTTCTCAACAACCTGAACCTGTGACCCCTAATGGGGTCGCCTTTGGTCTAGTCTGCTTGGCCCACCCAGGAAGGCTGCCAAACAGGAAACTGTCTTCAACTGCAAAAGTAGCTGCTGGGCCCACGCACCTCTCCTGCCATTGGCTTGCTGCTTCTGCCTGTATTTTACTGGCAATCTGAAGCACTTTAGGACATTATTTTACTTGTCTTCAGCAGGAGGATCTGAATGATGTAACCTACACAGCCCCATGGCTGCCAGCCAAGACTCACACTCGGGTCTCAGATTCACGCGTGTTCAGCATGAGCGACCCCTGGCATAGTCAAGTGTCTGTGGCAATGTAAGAATGCCACTAACTAGCGGCGGTCTCTCCATGGCCATGTTCTCTTTTATTCTATTTAAATTGAAAAGACATCAGGGCTTTGTGCTGTGGTACAGCTCGTTAGGTGGTCGCCTGTCATGCTGCTGGCATCCCAGACGGAAAGGAGTTCATGTCCCAGCTGTTCCACTTGCCATCCAGCTCCCCACTAACGCGCCTGGGAAAGCAGCAGAAGTGTTTGGGGTCTTGTCACTCACATGGGAGACCTGGGGGCTGGGGAAGCTCCTGGCTCCCTGGTTTGGACCTGGCCCAGCATGGGCCACTGCAGCCATCTGGGAAATGAAACAGCACATGGAAGATCTATGATGATGTTACAACTGAAGTAAATAAATTATTTTTAAAAATTCCCCTTGTTGCTGAGTAACTTAGTAGTTATTTTTAAACTTTCATTATAGAGACCTTTGGTAGGGCTGTATTCACCAGCCTCCCTTTCATCACCTCAGCCTTCTGTACGGCTGGACTTGACACCTGTGGGGAAGAAGGGGACCTCCCATCCTGCAACAGGGCAACAGCAGACGTTCCAGAAGCCACTGCGGGCAACCGGGACAAGGGCCACAGCCAAAGAATGATGGGCAAGTATGCTACAGGCTCCTGGGTTCCAGGTGATGGGGGCTGTGAAATTCTCATTAAAAAAAAAAAAATTGTTTCTGCCACTCTTCTAAGATATTCACACCCAATCCGACAAAGGTAACCAGAGTCAGGAGTAACCTCAGGTCCCCCTTTCCATGATCCCCATTCCCATGTCCTGGCTCTTACCAACACACAAACCAGTCGGGGCCCAACCTTATAAATATTGATTTTATAGAAAGGACCAATTAAAAACTGGCCAAGATGCCACACGCTAGAAGCTTCCAGAACCACAATGATGGGGGAAAAAAAAAAATCCAGAACAAAGATGTCCCCAGAAACAAACTGCCTGAAAATCAAGGTCCCGGTTGACCAAAGGATTCTACAGCAGCACATGGGGCCAGGGCTGCAGACCCCCATATCCGGAGCGGAAGGACAGACAAGGGACGCCCGCCCCCAGCCCGGGCCCTCTGCTGCTCCACTGCTGAGAGCTGGGCAGAGGGCTTCACAGCGTTCATGGGCGGTGGGGTGGGGATAGCTTAAATAACAGGGGTTGGGGGAGTTTTAGGCTTCAGATTTCTTTTCCCCTATAGGGAAGAGGGAGGAGACTGGTTTAGGGGAAACCTTAGTGGGAAAAGTCTGGCAACAGCCTGTGATCCAGGGCCCTCACCCCGGGGCAGGGGCAGGCCCTGCTGGCTCTTGGGAAGAAACAGCTCCACAAGATAGAGAACTGGGGGAATGGAGTCAGATGGGTGAACCCTTAAGTGGTACCAAAATTAGCTGCCATCAGCTCCCTGCTGGTGGGTCCTTGGGGTTGAAGGCGGCAGGGAGGGAGTTGGGGTGGGAGAAACTGAGATGTTGATTTAAAAAAAAAAAAAAAGCAAACTTACCCACCCACCCTTGTAGGAGGGCCTGCAGCCCTGGGGGTCTGTGGAACAGAAAATCAATGGGGCTGCCAGGGGTCCAGTCGCACATCACCCTTTGGGCCCTGTCTCAGTTCGGCTAGAAAGTCAGTGCTGACAGGGACGGGGAGGGGGGTGCCAGGTGGGGGCCGGGCATGGTGGGCTCCCTCCCCCCTCCTCCCCCCAAGCTTCACCTCCCCTCCTCCCGGCCAGCCCGGGGTCCCCCACCCGGCCCGTTGCAGGGCAGCACCCAGTTATTGTCGTGCAGGCCCAGGCGGCAGCCGGGCGTTTCGCGGTCGGCCCGGCGGCAGCACATCCAGTAGGAGCGTCCATAAGGCAGGTCGTGGTGGTAGGGCTTGGGGTGCCAGCGGCACAGGGACACGTCACCCTTCTCATATCTCTTGCGGCACTGCTTGCAAGGGTCGTCCCGGTAGAGTGGGTCGCGGCTCCAGCGTGAGTCGGTGGCCCGCACACCGAACGCCTCGATGACGCCCTTGAAGTGGTGGCAGGTGCACTTGAGGGCTGCCAGGGCACGCGTGGGCAGGAAGCTGAAGATCTTGACCAGCACGTGCTCCGGCAGCAGCAGCATGTACTGCCGCGGCTCGAGCAGTCGCTGAATCTTGAAGCGGATCTCCAGGAAATCGTGTGACACGTGCCGGTACAGGCGGCACAGCGAGGTGTCCGCAGGTCCTTCGGGGGTGTCGTCCGGGGTGGGTGCTGCGGCTGGTGGGGCGTCGGCTGGGGGAGGCTCAGGGGGCCCATCGCCTGTCCCCCGGGACTGAAGGAAGAAGAGCTGGCCCGGTGGGGGTGGCTCCTCGGGGCTGACCGTCAGGCAAACGGTCTCCTCCTTCACGTTCTTGGTACCGTCCTTGCCAAAGAAGATGCATTCATCCACCACGCCCGTCACCACCACATCCACGTGGAAGCCGGACGCGCCGCCGCAGTCCCGGGCAGGGGGCGGAGGTGGGGCTGGGGGGGTGTCCTCGGGCCTGGCCATGGCTGGGGAGTCACTCTCGCTGGCCTCATCGGCCCGAGCCAGCAGGAACTCCACGTTGCTGGGAAGGGCGTCCCTGGAGGGGCTGATGAGCTGGTACAAGTCACAGGTGATCTTGTCCTTGGCTCGGGCTCCAGGGCCTGGGCTGCCGGGGTAGGCACAGCCAGGCCGGCCCCCGCCCCCGCTGGACAAGCCACCATCTGGCCCCCGGGGCTCGCGGCCGTTAGAGATGCGGAAGGCAATACGTACCTCACCGGGACCCGGGCCGGGCCTCTCCTCCTTGCGGAGGCCCTTGGTTGGAGGGCTGTCCCGTTGGGCCTCAAAGTGGGCTACAGCCTCGGCTACACGGCTGCAGTCACCACTGCTACCAGCGGCCCGCCGTTCAGCCCCCAGACCTTTGGCTGGTCCACCCTGCTCAGCAGACACGAAGACCATGGGTGATGGGGTGGCAGGGCGTGGGTAGGTCTGCAGGGCCAGGGCAGCCCGCTGTTCCACCAGGGCCACCATCTCAGCCACCGACAGCAGGTCCACATCCTCGCTGGCTGAGGTGGGACCACCCTCAGCAGTGGGGGGTCCCTCACGGCCCCCCGGGTCTGGGGGAGCTTTGGTCAGCTCCAAACAGCGCCTCCTCCGCTTGGCTTTGGAACTGTCGCTGCCCCAGTGGCCCTTGACCTTCATGGAGCTGGCCCGGCTGCCCCCTCCACATTGGTGGGCCACAAAGAAGGCCACTTTCTCCTTGGTGTTCCCGGGCTTGATGACATACCATGTGTCTAACAGGACGCGGCCCTCGTCTCCGGCAGCTGCTCCTGAGAGCAGGGGGGCGGCCTGGGAGGCTGGAGTCTCAGTGGCCAAGGCAGGCGGTGTGTTCTCTGAGAGGGCTGGGCCATGGTCAGCCTCAGACCCACCGCTGGGCTCTGTGCAGGCCGATGGCTTGAGGGCCGCAGTGGGTGGGCGCGGCTGGTTCTGGGAGTAGGTGCCGAAGGGCCGGGGGCACCACAGCTGGAAGGGCAGGAGGCTGCCGCGGTCCATTCTCAGGGGGCTTCACTGTATTGCGAGGCCTTGGCGGTGGGCTCCACGTGCCACCTGGGGACAGGAGAGAAGGGGTGTGGCAGAGCTGGCCTTTCCTGCCAGAACCACCAGCCCCAGCCCTGAAGGGGCAGGGGGTAAGGACACCCAGAT